ATCTGCCTGTCTAGCATTATTGCTACCCATCTATACTCACAAGGAGTAGTAAGATTAATTGCTGAGATGTATGTATTGTTATTAGGGGCTTTATTATGTGCAGACAACTGTCCATAGATTTGTTCAATGTTGTCTAACGTCTTATCAAACTGTAATACATGCCCTTTTACTGTAAACAATGTGGATATGTCTACAGTATGCATTATTGTTGTTTGAATGTTGTATCATTCAGAAAGCACCTTCATAAGACTTCTAATACTTGTATGTGTTGTGAAGTTTGTATAAATTGTATCAGTTATTGTTTTTGTTATACAATGATACAAAACATTGCCTGTACATATGCCAGCATCATTGGAGGAAGGGGGATTGTACTCTAGATGGTCTAAGAGCATTATAGTAGCAAGTACACTGTGTATGCACAAGTATTATATCTTGTATCCCTTTACACCAGCCAACTTTTCTGTTCCCTCAAAGAACTTTGTAATGTCAGAGTCCTTCATTATAGTGTTAACAAAGGTATGCATTGTAGACAACATTGTAATGAGTTTGGGGGGAGAGGGAGGTCTTGGGCTTGGTGGTCTGGTAGGAGGCAAAGGCATTCTGTAAGAGTGAGTGTATAGGGGTATTCAATAGGTACTAAGGCTCATAACCTTTTAACAAGTATAGTAGGAGTGCCCTAAGTACTCTCTCTTATTGAGACATTGAGCAAGTATCTACCTTATATACTATATAGTGAAGTCTGATAATCTGAGACATTCTAAGTGTAGTAATTCTACATAAGGTAATTAGGGATTTCCTAATCCAGAGCACAATCTAATAACATCTTATTAATAAGCTCCTGAATTAGAGGGAGTAGGTACTTGTTTTTAACAGTACCCTTATTAAGACAATAATAATTCTAGACTAGACAGAGCTTTCTATCTTTCTTTTTGACAAAGAAGAAAGGGGAGGCTATAAGGGACTTTAAGGGTCAGATTCAGCTGTTCTAAAGATTTTCCTGAAGGAACTTGTTGAGCACCTCCTACTTGTCTCTGTTGAGTAGGTAGACCTTACAATCCTTAGGTTAGAAACCCTTAGTCAATTCAATTGTATAGTCCTAGAGACAGTGTTTAGAAAGCTAGTTGAATTTCTCTTTACTAAAGACTTTAGGGAACTCTTAGACAAAATCTAGCAGGCTGGGTCTACATGTGTTCTAGAGTAGAGTTGTTCTAAGAGGGTTCTAGACTAGTTCTGTCTCAGACATCCTTCAGATTGACTCTGTTCTGTCTTAACTAGAATATGTATCCACATATTTATCCTAGTCAAAGAAGAACAACTGGTCACCTTTATTAGAACTGTTAGTAACATTAGAAGTATCTATATCTACTCAGAACAGTAGTATAAGATAGCTACAAGACTTAGGACACTGATTGAACACAAGTGTCTACTCTAACTAGTTAATAGTAGGGTTGTGAGTTTTGAGCCATTTGAATCTAATAAAGATGTCTGTCTTTCTAAGGTTAGTGACTCTAAACTTAATACTTTCCTTATAATCCTAAATAGTCATCTGTAGTTAGACAAACTCAGTGATCCAACTATTCTGGTTCAGGGTTCTGTCTATATTGTATACTAGGATCAGAAGTAGAATGTGTTAAGTAGAGAGGTAGTGTTTCTACATAAAGGCTTTATTAATGTATGAACTAGTGTATTTACTGTCTACTAGAGCTATTGTTCAGATCTGAGGGGATTCTAAGAAGGGAGCTAAGAGGACAGGGACCTAGAGCTAGTACTCAGAATGTTCTTAGATAAACTACTATTTGTTCTGAAGGGAACATACAGCTTGTACAGCCTTGTTGTCTGAGAGAGTAAGTATATGTACTAACATTTCCTTATTAACCTCTCTCTTTTGACAAGGACAGACTCATGTCCTCAGCTGTAAACTCAGCTGAGACTATCCCTACTTAATACTATGAACAAACTACTGAGTAGTGAACAGGGCTAAGTAGTGTTCTGAATGTTCTAAGATTTTGGAACACAAAAGTAGTAGGTTGGATTGTGTAGATTTAGACTCAGATAAAGTGTGAAGAGAAGAATTAAAAGAATCAGAAGAAATAGGAGAACTATCTACTTTTGTTTTTGACTTTTTTCTTTCTAATAAATAATTTTGTTAATTTATTTTTTCTACTTTTTCTACTTTTTCTACTTTTCTTACTTTATTTACTTCTAATCCTACAGTGTCCATTAAATCAAAAGTGGCCATTAAAAAATCTGAGTTATAGCCCTTCAGTACTACATTCACTGTTGGGCCTCTACAAAATCCTAGAGTATATAGTCAGGGTCTGAGAGTTCTGAGGTGACTTCCAGATTTGTAGAAAAGGCTTCTTACTACAAATCCTGCTTGTTACTCATCATTACTCTAATGACCTGACAGATATACTATTACTTCTGTAGACAGTCCTTAATTTAGTGTCCTAACTTTCTACAGGTAAAGTATGCTCCTTACTTTCAGGCTTCTCTAATGTTTATTAGAACAGATTAATTGTAAATTACAGGTAGATTGATCTAAGGACTTAGAACTGTTAGAGCTAGACACATGTGTAAACATTCTACACAGACTTGACACATTCAAGCTACAGCTTAGTTAAAGGAAATAGTGTGTGTCTTCTACTCAGTGTAAGTGACCAGTTCTAGTATCATTCTAAGAATCTTATTAACCAGTTCTAGGTGAAGAGCTTTTTCAAGCATTCTAATAAGAACATTATCAAACCTGAGCACAAATCCTACCTTCTAAGCTAGGATATTAAACTCCTGAAAGAAGGTATTAGTAGAACATTTGCCCTGTCACAGAGACACAAGCTTGTTCTACACATTATACTTCTTATTCAGATTAATGAAGGAAGTACAGAGCTGCCCTATAAATTCTGAATACAACTCATTGTTCTAAAGTTGGATCAGGCTTCTAATCTGATAGCCTTCAATCCAGTTCTAGGCCCAGGTGGCTGTGTTGCCTTCCTTCATAAAGGAGAGGACAAATAGGACACAATCAAGATCTGAGAATAGATTAGTCAAAGTAGTAGCCATGTATAGTTCAACTTAGTACTAGAAGTCCTTAAAGTACTGCCTATTAAAGTCCAAAGGGTAAACTACATACACTTTCTTTCTAGAACAGGTTGCAACTTCTGGAACAATTGGAACAGGTTCTGAAGGGGTTAGAGGCACATAGTTAGTAAAGGCCTCTTGAATAGAGGTCTGTATGTATTAAGCTAGGTCTGCTTGTAACTACTGATCTGGCAGGACAGTAGGGGTGGCAGTTAGTGTAGGAGGGTCCATGTTTACACTACAAAGGAATCAGTACTAAACTAAAAGGAGTAATGAATAGGTAAAAAAGAATGATTTGGGTAGGACTTGCATTTTCTACTTCACAATTAAAGTATAACAAAAGGGAATAAGACTAGTACTAAGATTTAACCAGCCAGTAGTGTTACAGTTCTCTGCTCTCTTACCTTCAGTTCCAAGGGTTCTACACCCTTCTGTACCAGAACTCAGGACTTCTGTCCCTTGGGGGCACTATCTATAGACTATATGTGTACTGACTCTTACTACTACCCTTCCTTACTTTATCATTCTATTCCTTTGACCACCCCTTCATTCTCTGTTCATTCTATAGTCTCTTACCCTTTGTCCATCCCTTCATTCTTTGTACCTTTATCTTTGACATTCTTTTCTTTCATTCTTTGTGGCTTATCATTCTTAGTGGCTCATACTCCCTGAGTACTCTTGTGTAGTTTAGTATATATAGGTGTACAAGATCAGACTGGTCCTGTAGTCTTGATCTTGTCTACTCTAGGTAGTCCTGTACTCTTAGGCTCACTCTATATACTCTACTCTTGTCTCACTCTCTCTCTCTGCCTGTTCTACAAGTTCTGACTATGTTCTAGTGTTTGTGTTCTGTATTTCTGTTGTGTAAGATAGTTATAGCCTGGGTCCCCTTGCTGAGCCTTCAGGTCCCCTCTACACTATTACTGACATTAAATCAAGACTACCTATTACTACCCTACAACTCTCCTATGTTTTGAGCATTAGTACTTACTGTTACATTAATCTCTGTTCTTTGTCCCAACCCTTCTACATTTTTAAATTTTAAACTTTCTAAACCCTTTTAAACTTTTACCATCCTTCTTCTGGCCATTACACAGTTAAAATAGAATGCCAGAACTCTTGAATGTCTTATTCAGCATTGTCCATCTCTCTTGGAAGTTGTAATAGAGGTAGAAATACAGGGCTTACACTCATAACAGTAAGAAGGAAAAATATGTGCCTTTTAATATTTCAGAGAATAGTAGTATACACAATAGATTTTGCCAAATGGATGTCTGGAGGTAGTAGATACATATTTGACCTTGTACAGTTGTTCTACAATAAAACATTTACTGTTAAGACCTGAAACCCAAACTATTAGAACAGCTACACAACATATTCACTTTCAAGTTGTATGTCAGTCAAGTGTGACCTTACTTTTGTGTATTTCTTGTCTAGCCTTGAAGGCTGGTTACTACATTTAGATTAGTAGTTTTTGGCCAAAGGTACAGATTATTTGAATTTAGAGCAATTTTACTTAGACATATAGTTTACCTACTTAGGAGTTGTAGATGATTGTAGATAGTAATCTTTATATGTACAGTTAGCTACAGACTCTCTTGCTTTGTGTATGAATATGAGCTGTAGAATATAGTGACAATGTGGTACAGATACAAGCAAGGTGATCAGATGGGAACCAAATCCGACATACAGAAAGCCAACAAGTACAGAGGCACATATACCTTGGTACTTATGTATGTCAAGTCAGCAACTACAAGAATGACCAGGTGAACAAATGTCAGGAAGAAAGAAAGGACTGTCAAGCAAGGTGTGAAGGGGCACAAATAACATTAAACGAAACTCGTGAGAGCAGTAGAGTAGAAGAGCTGCAAGAACCAAAGAATAGGTATGATACAGTACAGGCTGAAAGGGGCATAGAGAAGCTAATTGTCTATGTCAGGAGATCTGTTGCTTTTTCCCTTCCCCTTACTGAGTGGTGGAGCAAGTTGCAGAGGTGTGGGACTATATGCAGACGTGTCACCAGCGCTTGATGGTCGGGTCGTGACAGTCAAAGGGTCCACATCACTGATTTCAGCTATCCCAGGAGGCGAAGCCGGATCGGGTGACTGCACCGGAACATTGTGATTTTGGTACGGAGGTGGAATATCTTGAACAGTACCACCATCCTGATGCTGAATAACGATTTCGCGAACAACTGTCCATTCGCCTGAAACACCTGGCGGTGAACGGAGATCGCGCCTTCCATCGTCTACAGAACCTGCATGCAAGTATGAACTAGAGATCCTGCCAGAACTGCCATGTCCGTCCAACGTAGACTGCAGCATCATCTCAGGCGATCCCGACGAAAAATGTTCCAATCCACGCTCAGGTCGTCTCGATGAAGTGCAGGTACGAGAATCGTCCATCCCATCTCCATCCCGTGCAAATTTTGCACTTGGTGACAGATGTTCTAGAGTAGAAGCTGATACACCACCAGGTCCCACGTCCGATATGGACTGGTTAATCCATGAACTTGGCAACAATGCAAGTTCGCGCTCGCGCCGCATTTGCTGTCGTTTGCACCAGAGATAGAATGCAACACCAGCGAGGCATAAAACCACAACCGGTATGATCAGACCTGCGATGATCGCTGTATGTGATTTAGATGGCTGCGGCAGATGTTGATTGATGTTGGTCGAATTCCCTGTCGAGGTGTTTAGCTTGCACGTATCGTCTGTTACACGCGGTCCAGTGGTTTTGAATAATCCAGTGCTTGTACCCCATACATCTTTCGCATCCGATACGGCAGCTAACGTATCGGAACCAGATAACTATAAATGTTTGTTCGCAAGATACTGTTGCACGTACCCATTACTTGACCATTTGGATCAGCTCGATTTGGCCAAGTCAACAAATCGTCATTGCTGCCCAACGTCACATTGGTGACCATGGGCGAGTTTACGGCTGCAAGAGAAATGATGTACGGCTTTTGGCCACCAAAAACGCGTAAACCCAGTAGCTCGCATGTTTCTAAAGGATCTGACGTAGAAATATTTGCAACTAATGTGATATTCGTCGAGGGTGGTGAAGGAAGGCAACTCGACTTGCCGGCTTCGACATCCAAGTCAGCCAGATGAAGTTATGCACGAAACGGAACAAACCCACCAGAAATATTGTAAACGGATTGTGCTTCTCCACCCGAAAACCCTTGGCTATCGGCGACCGTCAGGAGAAGAGAAGAGCCTCCAAAGCCATCAGAGATTCTTGCATGAAATGTACATGAGATTTCTGCCTACCACTCGCTTGATTGACGGTCCAGGACAGGTTATTACGGTTTGATCCAATAGAAGACACAGTTGGAATGCCATTCGACTTCCACGCCATCATGTAGTATGGTGGTGTCCCATGGCTGCTGGAATTGCCGGAGAGCGGCAGGATGGAAATATGATAGCTTTCACATTGCGTCAAGTCCGTAGAGTTCATCTGCAATCACCGAAAAGAAGGCGGCTCAAAGCGGCAAATACGTCGAAAGTGAAGGACGTACATTACTACTGAAAGTCCACCTGAAGGCCGCCTTGCAAGTCTGGTTATCCCGCGTCATACATAACGTCCACGACGAGACTAGGCTTAACGCCAGGAGCAACTTCCGCGACCAAATTCATGATGTTGGAACGATAATTTGAGCGGACTGGCAGCTGGGACTGAAAGTGGGATATAATCAGGGTGCCGTGCGACAGGGGCCAAGTACCGAACGTTGTATAAAGGTTTGGGCTTTGGCTGGAACATGTATAGATGGCGGCTCATTTGGCAAAATTTTTCTCGCGACAATTTCTTGACCATCCGAACATCATTGAAACGAATATTTATAGCAAGTTCATAGATAGGCAAGAACGCAGAGGTACTTGTTGCCAATACATATACGTTGATCACTGGAGCACCGTAGATCAACAAGGCCCGAGTATTAGCAAGCAAGTCAAGTTCAGAACGCGGATGTTAAGCTCGTCTTATGCGTCCTTGCAGGGCGAAATCGGATAAAGACGAGGATGTCAAGCAATTTAAGCAGGCGTTGTTATTATTACCCTTTGATTATTTGTCGCATCAGACAGGTTTCCGGCCTGGTTTCATCGTTTCTTTTATTTTTATTGTTCCTCTCGTTGTATTTGCTAGTGTCAGCGTGCTGGATACTGATGATGATAACGACAGAATTAAACTCAGTCAAGGTAGAATAGCTTGCTCTATACCTAATAACGGAATTTAACTACAGAATCAGTGAGGACCGATATTGAGCAGTAAAAATACGGTAGCTCACCTCCTGCTTCTTGTCTTCTTTCCCTCCTGTCTTCTCACTTGCGTTACCTTTCCTTCGCCCTACCTTTGCCTCCATTTCGCTAAGCGTTTTTGACCAATGTCGAATAATTTCAAAAATACGCGTCCTTCCTCACTCGTTTTCCTCCCATTCTTTGCTTGCCAACACATTGGAGGCTCACCCCGCGTGTATTACATCCCCCGATTCCGTACATGACACCATGTCAAGCAGCAGCAGTGGTGTACCGCTCACCTCGACTAAGCCGAGTCCTCTCATTTCACCTCGTTGTCTCCCTTTTGAGTCAGAACGTCTGATCGGTACTACCGTCCACATCTCAGATCACTGTGCATCTGATCGCTTGCTGTAGTCAGGGTATGCAACGTATGTGCGCATGGACACGGCTTCTCCTCCGGCCCAAGCAATTTCGTGAGCTAACACGCGATGTGATAAAAGCAAGAAAGAGGCTAGAAGGCGGTACTGGGTTTACATGGCAGAGAAGAGGGCACGTGAAGTTTCGCGTCTTACGCGTCGGATTAATTATAGCGGCGCTAAAATAAAACAAATGCCCCGCTTGTTCCTCTTCGGATTGTCAAGTCTCTCAGAATGCACACGAAGTTTCTACAAATTTATAATCCTCTTATAAATTCACTAAGAAGATACAGAACAAGCAACGGTAATGGACAACAAGGAATGTTACGTGTACATCCATTCATTCCGACGCTAGACATTCAATATATCACATGCTTTGAAATCCGCATAACCCAGAGTCCCGAAAGAATGAATAAAGCCCAACTCTGCAAAATTAATTTTAAAATTGGGGCTGGAGAAACTGATGGCACCGGTCGAAGTCACCTACAATCCCAAACAATTCCCTTAACCCTTGATTGTGAGTTGGGCGCATAGCCTCTCAAGCGCAAAGCTACAGAAATCGAGAGCCACTGATGAACTGCATGATCGTGTATAATCAGGATGTTATGCTTACTCCGACACCAACAGGGAGGTCGCTAAGGAGGCCCCCCAGGATACTTCCGAGGATGGGGACTGCGTCAAGGAGAGCAGCAGCGGACTGGCACGTCTGGCCCGCAGCACAGTCGAGAATGTTCAAGCCCAAAGGCAGAGATTCAGTGAGCCCCCCAGTCAAGCAGACGGGTAGAGATGGTAGCCCGCCAAGCTGGGGAACGGGTGTGGCAGCCGCAAGGGTTGTGATGGCAACGAGGACGGAAAGCTTGAAGAATTGCATTTCGAGAAGAGTTGAGAGATCTGCGTAAATGGAGAGTTGTACAAGCGATTGAAGACTTGAGTGGTGCTGAAGGTCAGTGCACTGTCTTGGCGACCTTTTATATGCTGTAAAAGTTATGGTTTCGCGTAGATTTTCCCCTCTGCGGAATCTTGATCCTAGGCCATGCTTATTTTCAGACAGTCCTCAGGGTTAACTACTAGAGACGGCCCGGGCGATGAATGAGGCAAAAGAGCGAAAGATGATTCATAAGAGCGTTCTTTGGATTTCTCGCCAGTCAGAGAGCTCTGTTGTTCCATGTGAACAGACCAGTACACAAAAATAAGACCAAGTCTAGCCATTATCGTGAGTTAGGCGTGCAGATTTACGGACAAGCGAGAAGAAGGAAGAATAAATGCATGCAGTCGACGCTTTGTGATCCACGTAGTTGAAGTTCAACAAAGACGATAATCGGGTATGTACACCAGGTATGACAGCGAAAGTGCGCCGGGAAAATGAATTCGGCAACTAGATAGATTGTCAAAGCAAATCAGGGTACCCTCACGTAGAACAGAGGTTAGCCAGCAGGAAGTTGATTAGAACGTGCAGAACTCAAATCTTAGTCACCGGGAATGAAAAGAACATAAGACGCATTTACTCAGCTGAATGATGCAGTAACGCGAGTTGTGCCTACGCGAATTCGGCACAGTCGATAAAAACAAGATAACTTGTACGAAAGGAGTTTTCAGAAGAATGGTTCAAACGTACCCGAGTATGCCGGTTCATCCTCTCGCCTCCGACAAAGTTACGAGCACGTTGTCGGAACAGCAATCACAGAATGGTCTGTGCGGTACCTGCAGAGCTCCACTCCGTGTGAACAAGTACAAATCCCGGCTGGCACAAGGACCTCATCATATCGCGATATTCGGGTTCTGCGATGCATTTAGACCACGCCATGAGGTGGGGAATCAGTTTTTTACGATGGGTATGCAGCTTTTGGCCGGCGGAAACAAAAGGGAGGCTGAAGAAGGCGATTGACGTTGAAAAAGAAGCTATGATGGCCCAAAGTCGCCAAGTTGATGTCTAGATCCAGGTGGCATTGGTATAATTTAGGCACAGTCAGGGGCAGCAAGTGCTTCTTGGATAAAATTGTCAATGAACTGGTCACAAGACATAGGTTCTGCAGCATGTTGACAATGAGCCGTCGGGAAAAGTAATAGCCTACAAGTGTGGAAAAGGCTTTCACGAGTACACGTTACAGTACAATGAAGAGCTGAAATAGACTGCTGTCGCATCGTTGACATTCCAATAAGTTAGCTATTAGCAATGTTATGAACTGCCTTTCTGAATAATGCTAAATTGGTTCGGAAGTCAACAGATGTCAGTAGTTCTGTGATTATTTAGCAAGTATCGCGAAGAGCAATATAGCGTGTGAGGCGTGGCAATTGAGAGACAGTGGGTATATGTCAGAGGTACAGGGTAGCAAGAAGGGAGCAAGGAGGTGTTGAGGTGTCCAGTTTTTCGGTGTGTTTTGGCGACAAATATACCCTAATTCAAATGATTGAGACGTGTCATGTCGGTTGCGATAGACGTGTCGTTTGGAAATTGAATAAAACTTCAAGAAGAGGTGCGTAACACGCGTTTCTATTTTTACAGCGGAGCTTAAATTATTCAGTTCAAGCTTTTCGCACCCAGTTTATCACATCCATGCCATACAAATCGACTAAAATCAACAAGGAAATACAAAGAACACCGACAGGTTAACAAAGGAATATCATGAGCAACTTAATCCCAACATCAACCATGAAAGTACTCGAGACTGCTCTGTTACACAAAATGAATCCACATTAGAATACCATGAAACAAATCTTGAATGCACTATGATCAGACTCGGGAATTGACAGGAATACTAATTGAAGTTGCCTACATTCCGAATAGTTCCATCACTCCTCTTCCACAATTGCTGGTGAGCTTTACAAGCCCAAGCCGCCCAAGCCCAAGCCACCCAAGCCTAAGGCCCCACTGCACATCTATGAGATCAGGTTTCAGATGATCAGCTTACTACAAAATAAGTATGTGAAAATATGATGCTCACGCCGACTCCAACAGGCAGCTCATCGACGACTCCACCGAGGATGGATCCAAGGATAGGGACAGCAGTGAGGACAGTGCTCATGGGTTCACATGTCTCGCCACTGGCGCAGGAAACAAGGTTCAAGCCAGCCGGGAGTACTCCTGTGAGAGTTCCTCCTGTCAAGCAAACAGGCAGAGATGGTAGACCACCGAGCTGAGGAGATGGCGTGGCAGCCGCAAGGGTTGTGATGGCGGCAATAACAGAAAGCTTGAAGAACTGCATTTTGACAAGGATTAAGAGATGATCGAGTACAGACGTGTACAAGGGATTGAAGAGCTACTTGGTGCTGAAGCTCTACTCTCTAACCGCTAGCTCTTTTATACGGTGCAAGAATAATGCAGGCGGATGAAGTGGTCCTCCGCGGAACCATGGTTGTGCATATTTTCTATTTTCAGCTCAGGTCCTCAAAGATGAACTAGGGTCCATCCGAGAGAAAACGAGGCGAGTGGGGTAAGTTCATCAGTGGAAGTACTTCATAGATTTCACGTTGGTCAAAGAAGATGGTCTGTGCAAGCGGCTCGATTTATAAATTATAGAGGCTGTCCAATAGGAGTCCAGTCTGAACGAGGGAGCAATTAGGAAGCAGCGGTATGCAGATAGCGTATTGTAGTTCACGTAGATATAACGATTGGCCAAATAGTAATACTCGGTATGCCGGATTGCGCAGTGATCATGCGACGAGAACTGACCCATCACCTGTCAGGCTGTCCAGAAAGGGTTGTTCTTCATTACTTGCATCAGCGGAGGCCAACACAGCTTGACCAGAAGTATTATCCGAGACCGACCCCTCGAGTCTAAAAATACATTAAGGCGCTTTAACTCAGCAGCTGTGTACCGAAATGACTCGAGAACATTCCTCGGCAACTTTCGAAAGTGCGGTGAAAACAAGATGAGCGACGCAAAAGGACCTTTAGAAGGACGGCTCGAAAATACTGAGGCTTGCCGGTTCGTTCTCCCGTTGTCGACAGCAGTTTAATCACGTTGTTAACTCGTCGTACCTGAACGGGTTCGTACCGGAACGCCATGCAGAGCTCCACTCCGTGTGAACAGGTACACAGCCTGATGAGCATCAGCATCTCATTTTTGTCGCGAGATTCAGGTTCTGGAGTGTATTTAGCTACACCATGAGGTGAGAAATCAGACATTTGCGACGCTTGTGCGGCCTTTGGCCGGGAGAACAAGGGAGAAGCGTGATGAAGACGATTGACGTTGCAGAAGAAGCTGAGCTGGCCTAAAGAAGCCCAATTGATCGTCTGGACTCTTGGTGGCATTAAACAAATTAGGTACCGTCAGAAGTAGCACGCGTGTTCCGATATTTAATCGAAAATGAACAGAGAGATCACAAGACATACGTTCAATAGCTTGCCAACAATATAATGGTGTGGTGGGTACACGTCGTGTTACGACAGACCTGAAATAGACTAAGTACTGTCGTGTCAAGGTCGCTTGTTCCCATTCAATGACACGACGCACAGAGAAGCTTCTGGATTACAGTAAGCCGAATTCGTTCAGAACCTACCGGAGCTCGAAATCTTTACCATAAAAAGGGCAACCGGTACAACTGATGCAGCCTATGAGCCGGAAACTAGGAAACAATTTTGAAGTCAGTCTCCCACCCATCGGCGTTGAAGCCCTTACAAATGCTGGACGATTGTAGAAATATTAAGGGGAAGAAGATTAATCTCACCGAAGAACACAGAGAGCGAGGATTCTTTGGGACGGAAAAGTACCTTACAGCTCAAGCAGGGTGCTGGTCTTACCTATTTAGCCAACGAGAACACACTATATCAGACGAGAAACGTGACCGTCCTGCGTGCTCATCGCAGATACAACCCACCGAACAGTTATCGATGAAGCAGAAATAACACATCTTCTCGTTCTGCTCCTTTACATGTCAGAAACAGCGCTTCCACTGCAAGAATCAGCCAGACAACAGTCAGGAAGCTTTTAGGGGGCAAAAACTTCCACTCCCGGTAGAGGGACAACATCAATTTGTGGCACTGACAATCTCGTCTTGCAAACAGAGTCTGTCTAGCTCGCATTCAGTGGTGTCAGAGAAAGAGCGTAGGATAACTCCACAGTAGATAGGCGGTGACAACGTCAAGAGAAAGAGCATCCTATACAAAATGTAGCCTTGTGAGTGCAAACCGGAATGGAGTGTAAGCTGTACAACCGTTAAGCGGCAAAGCCATATAAAAAGCCCAATTGTATGAGGCAGTAGGGTCCATTAAATTGACACCCTGGCGAGTGAGAACCAGAAGATATTTGGGCTGTTGAGCACATTCTCGTACTCCTACGGATTCACGCGCGAATAGATCCATTGTATACGGAAAACAACGGTGATTGGTTTTTGAATAGTCTACTTGTCATTTAGCACGTCCACCTTGAAGAACGTAAGCGAGGACAGCTAGTTCTGATGAAATAAGAACTCTAGGTCATGTCTTACAATATCGATCTTCATCCAACTCCCCTTCTGATAGCTCATTCTAGGGTTGTAGAGAGGAGACTGCTATCTAGTTTTCCAGAGCATGTGCACGAAGCCAAGGTTAACGAACTTGATGACCTAGAAATCAGTATCAACACCTCTTACATCGTTTGCTGCATGACTACGCATTCCTCACCTTTAGTCCTGGTGAGCTATTGGCCATCGAGTACAATTAGGCACTGTGTTGTTTCCATGACAGGGCCAGCAACCACGCCAGTCGAGTCGAGTCCAACAGGGAAGTGCAAAGCGCTTCGAAGACTCTTACAGTTGTTGAGCATGCTTATCAGTATGTATGCATTCCATTCAAGCCTCGTGACTGATAGTGGTATATCTTGTCAAGAACCATGACGTGAAGATATACTTCAGTGTCAATATGCTGGAGGGTAGCGACTGCTACCCTCTACGTTTGCGCTACCAAACGTCTAGTAGTCGTGCGCAGAAATATGTTTGTAATAAATGATAGTGACGCAAGGCCCAACTTCCTTTCTAACATAGGGTATTCAGTGCAACAGGAAGTAGAATGAGCTGGACGACATGAACGTAGCAAAACCCCGGTGAATGTAAGGGAGGTGCGAACGCACTCCCACGGTCATGCCGTGGTTTCGCAACTCAAATTAAATTCAAATTACGCATAAAGGTTCTGCCTTCAACACGGATTCATTACCACTGTAAGGCTCAGAAGTGCAAACACAACTTAAATTTATTAGCCCGATACAAGCACACTGATACTTTCTATTTTCAGCATACGACTCGAAACCTAGCATCAAGCTCTAAGTCTTCTTGATGTGCTTTTTTGCTCTGTTTTCTGTTTTCTCAAAACTCTCAACACACTGTCGATGGTATCTTTTACGTTTGGGCGGCATCTTACTATCTACGTTCTGACTAAAATTTGGGCACCTATGAATCATTTAACAAATGGTAATCCCCATCAGGAGATAACTAGGGATCATGATGGGCCGAAGATTGAAGCAGTACTAAGGCCTGAAACTAAACGACAAAAGTGCCGCGATCATGTTTCTCTTACCTCTACGGATGCAACGAAATAGATGCCCATGTACCTGGGCCGTTCAAAAAGACGATTGCTTCACTATATACTGACGTCTAAGAGGCTCATAAGTAAGTACTTCAATCGTTCTCGAGCCTCTCTTGGAATCGTCACTAAATATCGTATGCCGATTAGATATCCCCATACTGTTGTAATCCATTGGGAGAAAGATCCTGGGATTTCTTCATAGCTTCCTTGGGAATATCGCCGGGTGGCGGAACATGGAAGCACGATGCAGGTCATAGAAAAGCGGCACGGGACCGTCAAGCCGTTGTGCGGCGTGTGCGAGTTCAGAAATGGGCGGCGACTCAAGGCATAAATACTTCTCAGCATCTTTTAACCCTACGATCATCTCTGAACCTCAAGATTCTTCCAATGCTTTCTATCGGGGCTGCGAATGTCGCTGTCCTAGCTCTTTTGGGCTTTCGAGCTACTGGAGTAAACGCCGCCTTTCAGTTGGTTCAAAGCCATTCGGGTGCTAATTTGTGAGTCTTTTCCCCGCAAGTATTTCGTTTCTGCGAAGAGCAGCGAGAGCGGAGAAGTAGTGTGTTATGAAGAAATAGGACGGTTGCTCATACTATGGTACTTTCTTAGTTTGAATAACTGGACTTTCGCTACTGGCACCGATTTTCTCGATAATGTGGGTGACGTCGTTTGGCAGTCGGAAGAGCAGGCACAACAGGAGCAGGTGGGTGTCGACGTCTGTGCTTGCCCAGTAGAATCGAGATCAATCTTTCAATCGATTTCAGTTGACATTCCTCAACGCGGCGGGCAATTTTGTCATAAAGGTTGACAATACCACTGATGCGAGGGGTAATTCATCATATGGCCGCAATAGTGTGAAAATGAACAGCACTTATACGATTTCGAGCGGAAACCTGGTTCTATTTGATGCTTTTCACATCCCATATGGAGTGCGTAAACTAGCGTCAAACGGTTTGCAACCTGATCTGATATTTTGTTTGTTTTCAGTGCTCAGGTACGACTGGTAAATAAACTATATTGTAGAGCTGATTTCGATCAACGCAAATCATTAGTATGGCCTTCATTTTGGACACGAGGTGCTTCTTGGCCAGATGATGGAGAAATAGACATTGTAGAAGCCGTAAGCTGACCTACATATGAAATTGTTCCTAACACTCACTTTCATCTATGGTGCCAGGTAAACATGGTAACGGAAAATAGTATCTCTCTGCATACCCTTAATGGCTGCAAGCATCCAGATGCCTCCGCCTCAGGTGGTATTGAGACTGGAAACCTCATTTCAACGGACTGCTTCAACCAAACGAATTTCAATCAAGGCTGCATCGTCGATGTGCCTGGCCCTTCATACGGCGCAGCATTCGCACAATCCGGCGGAGGCATATACGCATTAAACTGGAACTCTTCGGGCATCTTCATTTGGTTCTTCCAACGTGGATCGATACCCTCCGACCTTCCCACCGACTCACCTAATCCCGACGGCTGGGGTCTGCCAACAGCAGCATACCCAGTTAGCAACTGCGACTTCAATACCTTTATCAAACCTCAAAAACTCATCCTCGAAATCGACATTTGCGGCGACTTTGCGGGGTTGCCGAATGTTTACTCACAGACATGCAGTGGGCTCTGCACCGATCTCGTTCAAATCCCATCGAACTATGATAATGCCTATTTTGAGATTGGGTCTATCAAGGTGTTCCAGCAGACGAATGGGAGTTCGACTACGGCGACATCACCCGCTGGTGCGACAACCTCGCAGGGAGGTTCTAAAGGTAGTGGCGCCTCACGATTGGGTTCACCTATCTGTCTGTTTATTTTCACGTCCGTGTTCGGGCTTCTTGTCAGATACCTCTCCTGATGGCTTACTAAATGTTGACGTACGTTGGGATGGTTTTTATATGTTTCTATTTTTATAACTCCCTTTATCTGGATTTGTGATTCCTCTTTGCACGGGCTTTTTGTTGTTGCTGCAACTATTTGTTTTCATCTTCGGTTCTTAGTAATTGTCGGATATACCACTTAGAGTACTTGAATAACCCTTGCAGTGCGGACACCTTTATACAGCCATTGATGATTGGCAACAATTCAATCGAAGTTTACTGGCATTACCCAGAGTATTTACTTTAAGTATCAAGCACAAAACGCTTGACCCCCAAATTACTAAATCGTTGGCTTGAGAAATAAGTCCACAAGCGCATATACCCCAATCCAAGCTTTAAATGTTAAAGTCTCAGACTGTTCACTCACTTTCTGGGCCGCAGGCCGACAAGAGGCTTGTCATTAAAAGCTGGCTACTTTTCATGACGAGACGATGACCAAAGCCACGCTTGGGTTGAACAAACAAACAAATGCCGAGACTACACAGTGTTCGGAACTCTACGGAGCACAGCCACTCAAAGATGCTCACGTGACTATACCATAACTTTTGCGATATAAATTTATCGGACATACTGAGCGTTATATGGAGTTAGTCGCTCAGCTGTCATCTCACTGACGTTCTTCAGCATTGGATGTCGTGTACGCTCTCTCATACTGTTGGATTCTCATTGGCAGAAATGGGTTCTGGTCTTTCTCCCTTCGGAGATTCCTCGAATAACACCGCCAAGTGCGGATCACCGGACCACGAGGTAGACTAGCGGGCAGGCACCCCGACGTGAGGCGTGTGCGAGACGAAAACTGGTGGCGGTCTAAAATAATCCCCAACGCCCTTTACCTCCTACCACCATCTCTGAACCTCGAGTGTCGTTCGATGCTTTCCCTTGGCGCTGCTAGTGTCGCTGTCCTTGCTCTTTCGAGCTTTCAAGCTACCGGAGTAGACGCGGCCTTTCAGTTGGTTCAAAATCATTCGGGTGTTGATTTGTGAGTAGCTTCTCCGTGAATTCTCGTCTCCTCGGAAGGGAGAGTGTGTGGAATAGCTCAAGGTCTGCAAATGATCGGAATGGTTGCTCATAACGCATTATTCTCGTAGTTTGAATAACTGGATTTTCTATGCCGGCATCGACGCGAACAATACCGGCAATGTTCTATTTCAGACGAAAGAGCAGGCACAACAGGAGCAGGTGGGTGTTCTAAGTCTACATCGTCTTAGTCTTAAAAATCGAGACCGAGCTCACCCACCTATAGTTGACATTCCTCAACTCGGCGGGCAATTTCGTCATCAAAGTTGATAATACTACTAACGGCCAAGGAAATACAACATTCGGCCGCAATAGTGTGAAAATCCTTAGTTCGTATACGATTTCGAGCGGCAATCTTGTTCTATTTGATGCTTTCCACATGCCTTATGGAGTGAGTAGGTTGACATCAAATAACTCACGACCTAATCTAATATCATGTCTATTTTTAGTGCTCAGGTACGGCGAGTAAATAAATTATTGCAGAGCTAATTTTGATCGACGTAATTCACTAGTTTGGCCCGCGTTTTGGACACAAGGTCCTGTTTGGCCAGATGATGGTGAAATAGACATCGTAGAAGCTGTGAGCCGACCTTCTTCGGAAGTAGTCCTGCGATTTTGCTAATCTGTGCTACCAGGTGAACATGGAAACGACGAACAGTCTCTCCTTGCATACTCTCAATGGCTGCAAGCATCCAGATGCCTCCGTCTCAAATAGTACTGAGACCGGAAACCTCATTTCGACGGATTGCTTCAACCAGACGAATTTCAACCAGGGTTGTATCGTCGATGTGCCTGGCCCTTCATACGGCGCAGCATTCGCACAATCCAACGGAGGTGTATACGCACTCAATTGGAACTCATCGGGTATCTTCATTTGGTTCTTCCAGCGCGGATCGATACCCTCCGACCTTCCCACCGACTCGCCTAATCCCGATGGCTGGGGTTTACCAACAGCAGCATACCCAGCTAGCAGCTGCGACTTCAATACCTTTATCAAACCTCAAACACTTATCATCGATATCACGATCTGCGGCAACTTTGCTGGACAGCCGAACGTTTTCTCACAAACGTGCAGTGGGAACTGTCTAGACCTCGTTCAGACCCCTTCGAACTACAATAATGCGTACTTCGAGATTGGGTATATTAAGGTGTTCCAGCAGTCGAATGGAACTACGACTACAGTGTCGTCTACTTCGTCGGGCAATGCTGCTGAAGCTACGACCTCGCAGGGCGGATCAAATCAAGGTAGTGATGCTTCGCAGTTAGGTTCCCCGACTTCATTGTTTATGCTTACGCTTGTATTTGGACTTCTTTTCGGATACCTTTCTTGATGACCTAATTATGAGATGTTGAAATGATTTTAATGTGCTTCTATCGTGACGATTTTCTTCATCGGGACTTATGATACCTCTTCGCACGGACTATTTGTTGTCGCTACCACCACCTGTTTCCTTGATTTTATGTAAGGTCGAATGTACCCCCGCCCTAGTATAGTCGATTAGACCTTGCTTTCTACTGCTGTTCTTTATTATCTCAGAGTACATGATATATTTCAAAGTCTGTTGAAGACTTGTGTTTTCTCATCTGCATGTGACCAATGACAGTCCAATCAAGCCATATAAGTCCTACTTGGGGTATTCACTTTTAATTATCAAGTACGAAACGAGCGACATAGGAATTACTAAATTGTCCAACCCGAGAATCAAGTCCATAGCCACATAATCTGCAATCCAAGATCAAACATATCCTTAAATACTAAGTATTCGCTGTCACTTCACTCGACTCATGATAACATGTGCTCGGAGAGCGATTAAGCGCTGACTGAGCTGGGCACGGAGCTGACGACGGAGGTGCTAATAGTGGGGGACGAGCTGGCGATGGACGTGATGCTCGAAGGGAATGAGCTAACGACGGAGGTGCTTCCTGGGACTGAGCTGACGATAGATGTACTGTCTCCTGGGACTGAGCTAACAACAGATGTGCTGTTTCCTGGGACCGAGCTGACAATGGACGTGCTGTTATCGGGAACAGAGCTGGTCACAGACGTGAAGATCTGGGATGCCGAGGTGAAAGTGGTGGTAGCGAGAGTCACAGTTACGCCTCCGTCTGTCGCAGTCGTGATTGGGAAAGAGCCAGTGGCGGAGGATGCGGAAGTGACGAACGTCGCAGAAGCGGTGCTGGTCGTCGGGAAGGGGTCAACGAAAGTGGACGCTGTCACTGTGCCGGATGCGCAAGCATATTCAGTGACGGTCTCAGTGACCGTTTTGATACCGTGGTGGCCGTGATGATACGAAATCGTCGGTCCATCGAAGGTGATTGTGTCAGTGACTGAGGAGCTGTTACCGCCTCCGACGACGCTCGTAGAAACAACAGGCAAGGAAGTAGTCGTCGGTCCGTCGAAGGTGATCGTGTCGGTGGCTGAGCTGTTTCCGCCTCCAACAGTGCTCGTGGTGATAACAGACGCGGTACCCGTAGCAGTTGCGCTTCCATTGGAGGGAGAGCTGGCTGTAGTGATCGACACCGAAGAAACACTAAGTTGCTGCGGGGCCTAACCTCGAGCCGGTTAACATACGCAAAGTATTAGACTAGGACTTCACTCACAGCATACGCGACGGCGACAAGCGCAAGAACAGCAAGCTGCTTGGAGAACATTGCAAGTGCGTTTAAAGTATAGGGTAAAAGAGGGAGCGGCGTCGAAATTAAATGAACTGTGAAGGCTCGTAGACGAGTCGACTGGAGGATCTTTCAAGTTCCCCCTGCTAGATTTATACCCTTCATGTCTTCAGCATTGCCTTATCATAGCATAATACAGGGTTCCGTTTCACCGCGTGAGAGCAGTCGACTGCGGACACATCACGGTTCACGGCAGACTGTTCTCGTCCTGACAAAGTATCCACGGTCATGAAACGCGCGCCTTCGTGGAGCATCGCACCCGCAGTGCACTGTATTGCCGCTTCTCGAGAAGCTAATGATCTGTGGGAGCTCAACTGACATGTGCGGGCTTGGCGAGACGCTCAGAAAACACAGCATTGCAAAACGGGATTTACGGCGACTGTTATGAACCCCATAACCCCATAACTGTTGAAGCACCTGGCGTTGTCATTGCGCATAAAGCGCCACATTAAAACCGAGATCGTTGGTAGAAGAGCATCACTCACTGTATCGAATGCTGTTTATTATCGCGACCTGCATGTCTTTGAACAGGGTAGATTAGGTTCCGAAACATAATAATAAAGGTGATTGTCGTATATTTCGTATGTTCAAGTGCTGCATTATGGAATCTATTTGTCCGGCCGACCATTTGTGGGAAGTCGATCCTATGACCATGAGAAATGTCCGAAGGAATAGGACAACTAGCGTTAATCTGTGCTGATTCGCGCGTCGGTCAATGAAGTTTGACTGCGGAGAGCGATGAGCCTCTCAATCCGCGGCTACACCGGTGAGAACTTTATCTAATTGCAGATTGTCATAAAACAATGGTTTGAAGGCGTCGACATATCAAAGTCGTCGCTTGGAGTCATTTGATGGAAAGTTGTCAAACTTTCGAGATTCTGGAAATTCTGGTGAGAGATCCGTGAGAATACCAAACACGTGATAGCCACGACGTTCGTATTTGTTATTGTTTGGCTAAAAACGTCATGGATGAATTAACGGTGAGCATTCATGATTCAGTCTTCATACAGAATGTCCCGACCGGCACTTCGAGCTCTCTTGGTCGACCTATCTGGAACGCTCCATATAGGAAACAATGCCATCCTCTCCGCAGCTGAAGCCCTTCGGCGTGTCCGTGAAGCGGGGATTACAGTCCGTTTCTGCAGCAATTCTAGCAAAGAAAGCACCGCCTCGCTCAAAGCAAAGTTAATAGAAATGGGATTTGATGTCAAAGAAGGGGAACTATGGACAAGTCTTGGCGCATTGAAAGATGTCGTCAAGTTGAAAAGGTTACAAAGGTAAGTTTCTTTCCAAATCTGTAATAATATTCAGTTAATACATTGAAGAGCACATGTTGATGCACGGCCTTGTAGACCGTTCTTCCTGCTTTCGGAGTCCGCAATGGAGGAGTTCCAAGAGTACACTGGTACATCCACCGACGGGCATTACACGGAGTTCGACTCTGTTGTCGTTGGGCTATCACCAGACCACTTCAACTACAATACTCTCACCAAGGCGTTCCGTATCCTTGCTTCCAGCAATAATAACACCCAAGATAGACCTCCATTAATCACGACACATAGAGCAAAGTATATCCGCACACCAGATGGCGAGTTATCCCTCGGACCGGGTCCCTTCGTTACAGCACTTGAAGACGCAGTCGGCACGGATTTGCGCGCTGCAGCAGTTGGGAAGCCAAGTAGGGCTTTCTTTGAACGAGTGATAGCCAGTATTCCGGCTGGTCACTTAACTAATGGGAAAAGCCCAGAGGATAAGCACGAGGATATAGCCATAATTGGCGATGACATTGAAGCAGATCTTGGTGGAGCTGCTGTAGAAATGGGCTTGTGGCGTATTTTAGGTTTGTCACGGTCCAGTGTCATAAAGTCCGCGTGTTCTGGAAGCTCACCATCAGCCACAGTGAAGACAGGAAAGTATAGAACCAGAGATGAGAATAGAGAGGGTCAACACGCGCCGAACGAAGTGCAAGATTCCTTCGCAAGCTTTGTAGATGATTTGATGCGGGAATTGCACAGGAAAGTGTAACGTACAACAAATTTAGAATGCCCTGAGATAGAATCTATCTAGACAAATAGAGAAATCACTCTAAAGCACAATGTGCCGGATGAAACTAGCTCTATCACCCGGAAGCTCTAGGTGCCCTGTCATCATCATCCCTTGGAGGTGGCTTTACAATTCCACTTGACAATAGTTCTACAAGGACAGGATCTTCAGTTGCTCTTGATCCTCTGGTTATAAATGACGAATCAGTAAGATGAGTGAACAGAAAAGACAATTAGTTCTGTCAGACTGACGCTAGCATTCGAACCACATCTCGTAAAATGACCCCTGTTGGAAGCTCGATTTTCTCAATAGGGGGAGTGAGAGTGTCTGCACGCGTCGGACCAACGTTGAGCATCAGCACCGGCTTTCCCAGCTCAATCGCGCGCTTTAGTAGTCTTACATATTGCAACTCAGTGTGCTGAATACACTAGATTGGAATGCTCTCACCTAAAAGCAGAGTATGTCGCAAGTGTAGTTCCGACGATAAATAAGCGATCCGCTAACTCTATAGCCTCAAATCTGCGTGGACCGCAAAAGGAGTAAGAGACACGACCTACAGTCGAATAGAACATTCTTACGATTTGTCCTTCACTGCAGCAGGTATTGATTCGCCGAAGAATATTAGATGAGGCTTGTGCTAAGAAATACAAAGTCAATATGATGGATACATCTTATAGTCTAACATCCACGGACCATATTAATTCTTCTGCCTTCCTCGAAACAAGAAGGGCAGTCGGGAACAACGAAATCTTCGTATGACGCTCCTTCAATCTCAACCTGATTGTCTCGACGTCAGCTAGATCAAATATTTTTAATAAGGCTCACTTACGTCTCCATCCGGATTTGTCCTGAGTTTCTGCCCAGTTCGTTCTAAGTTTTCCATAAACTGAGCCCAGCGAGGGTTTGCACCCGCTAGCCATTCTTGAAACAAGTTACGATCTACAACATGGTCATGCTTACAACTGACTCTCTTAAATCACAAAGTCGCGTTCAGTACAATACACCGCACTGAGGCCAATACTTTTAATAGAGATGGTCTTACGTGTAACGTCCCGTGTAATTCTAATATTCGGGTCGAGATTTTGCTTGCGGGCCAAATAGATGACATGGCTTTGCTATCTAATCCATCTACGTTTTGCGTGACGAGCCGGGATACATGTGACGTGTATTGAAGAGCAGCAATAGCATAGTGGGTCGTATTTGGGAGAGCATCTCGAACCGGAGGATATCCAAGGTAAGACCTCAGCCTAATATGGCAGGCCATAGTTTTAGCAATAGAAATTTTACGAAATCAAGACCAAGAAATGCACATGCCAATATCGTTGTCTGAAAGCGAATCCCTTTTCTGATTCGTCAACAAGTTCGTGGTACTATAATTTCGCTTTTGAGGGTTCATTTAGAATATATTCAAACTGACGACCTGACTGACAAATATAGGCCTAAGATTCAGTTAGCTTCCATGCTGTCAATGCATCGAAACCTTGCGCTACTCACTTATAGTTCGGATTCATGTATCTTCCATCCTTCCCTCTGTACGCACGTATCCCCGAGTCGACACTTACACCTGCTCCACTCAGTATAGTGACGTTTCCTGGCGCTAGAAATGTCGCGATGCGCTCAATTGCAGCTGCCCTTGTGATATTCGAGGACGCTGACCCTGGCGTTGGAATTGTCTTTGGGATAGTTGGAACGGAAACACGCATTATAAGGGACTTTGACTGTTTGTAAAATCTGAGATGCACAAGTACATGGCCGTAAGACGTAAGTGAGTAAGGACGACTTGATTAGTCACGTGCCCAATCATTGCCTGAAATCGGGAGATATCGGAGTTACATCATTAGGGGTGGTCAAAATTCGCGATTCACCTCGCGATTCACCTTGCGATTCTGGCAAGTGAATCGCAGGGTGAATTGCATGACAAATTTTGACCAACCCACTTTCTCAGAGGCAATTCAGGCCAATTCATCCCTACTTGTATATGTACTCGATTCTGTCCATATGTCAAGTATTTTCTTCATTTTTTTACTGTATTAATACATATAAGACTATATGCCAGGTTATAGAGTAAGTTAGTAGTATTAAAGCAAGATAACATCATTCTAGGATAGGACTGATAATTTGTAAGGGAAAAAAAGTATTGAGTCTAATTAGTACTCAAATTTTAGTATATGCAAGTGAGAATTACAAATTTTATTTGAAGTGTAAGGATTTTTTACAAAAAGGGTAATGGATTACAGTATGGTACAAAAGAACAAAAAAAAGAGGGAATGAATCGTGTGAGGTGAATCGTGGTGAAGCGCCTCCAGAGCCGCTTCACCTGTCGACGCGATTCACCCCGAATCGCAGGGGTTTCGGGGTCCACGATTCACTTTCACCCAAAGTGAATCGTGCAGGTGAATCACAACCTGTTGACCACCCCTATTTATTACCTTACCAGTGCTACTGGTACCTAATAAACGTTACTTTACATGCTTCCTTCCCAATCGTCGACTTCACGGCAAGTATCTTTTTGTCTTGAAAGCATTCTCGGAGGGCAAGCAAGTAGAAACGTTTATGCACAGAAAGGTTCAGCATTTTCGATAATTTGAAGGGACGTCTGACACGTGTCTCATCGTCTGCATCGTGAACGACCAATCGACTCCTATCTGGCATCATGCTGCGTACTCTAGCGGTTCATTTACCGATTCAATACCATAATTCAAAGCCACGGGGCTGTGGCATCCTTTCTGTGCTTCGAAACCAGTTCCAATAACGCTATGAGCGCTTACGTTCCATATATGTGAGGCTGGCTGTCCGACTGGGTATACGTGAAGCAGCGTGTAAGAGTATGCAATGATATCTGAACTTTAAACGGGCGCTTTGTTGTATTGGTATTCAAAATAAATCGAAGCATATAGAATGGAAGGCAGAGTAGTCGCCTGATTGAGGTGTGTGTCTCATTATCTCCATAACTATAAATATTAACTGGTTGTTCGTGTACATTCCTTGCCCCCCTTTCAAATACCTGTACCCCTTCGCACCAGAAATTAGCGCATCTCTATCATGGACAATACTCGTGGGAGAGGTAGAGGTCGCGGTATGCCTCGAGGTAGTGGCTCGCGTGGGGGTCCAGGCTCCCGCAGCTCCTCGTCATTCGCATTTGCTCGTGGTTCTGGGCGGGGCCGGGGAAGAGGAAAGGCTCCAGTGCAAGTATTTGCACCAGATGTGCCCGTGCAATTGGACACCCGCCTCGATGACAGGGAGCTAACAGCTCTTGTCTCGCAATTTAAAAGGCTTTCGACAACCACCCCTGGCCGCGTTCTGCGCCCTGGGTTTGGGAAACGTGGGGCAGCAATCACGCTTCGCGCAAATTTCTTTGCGTTGAAGTATCCGAAAGACTGCGTCTTATATGACTACCCTATTGAAGTCACACCTCCCGTGAAGAAGGAGGAGAAACGTCTCAGAAAACGCTTGTTTGATTTGTTTGAGTCGTCGCAAGAGGTTGCACCTCACCTCGGGTACATTGCCCACGATGGGATGCAACGCCTCATCGCGAAGATACCCTTGCCGGTCGCCTTTTCCGTATCGATCGCGTTTTACGAGGAAGGACGGGCCAGACCACACCCTGGAGGAAAGACGTACGTCATCAAGCTGGGCGAACCAAAGCAACTGAGGTCAGCAGACCTCGACCGGTAAGTACAGTCATCTGTCCACCCGTTTGTTGTTATTGACGCCTCTTTTTTTCAAGGTATCTTCAGGGCGACGATGCACAGTACAATGCCTCAGACATCATATCAGCTTTTAACTTGGTAACCTCATTTCATGCCGATCGCACAGGTATTCTATGTGGAAAGAACCGCTATTTCTTCCCACCCGATGTACTGAAAGAGTCTCCCTTTGCTCTTGGGGATGGTTTGGAGGCGTGGAAGGGATTTTTCTCCAGTGTGCGGCCGGTCTACAAGAGTCTAATGGTCAACGTGAACGTTTGCATGAGCGCCTTCTATATCCCACACTCGAAGCTCAGCGATGCAATACTAGAGTTTCAGAGGCGTTCACGAGGTGCAGGGGCTCCTCGGAACCTAGATGGAGGTGTTCGAGTCACGACTACGCATCTGGGTTATCGCAAGAAGAACAAGCTTGCTGGTTTTGGTCCACATTCTGCAAGGAAGACTATATTCCAATGTGATGAATATGGCGGTAAGATCAGTGTCGAGCAATACTTCCAGCGAAGTAAGTGCTAGCATTTTGCAGTTTAGGGTTGTTTGATTGACTTCCGTTTCACTAGAGTACAGGATCAAGTTGAATCACGCTGACGATATGCCTGTAGTCAATATCGGAAGCAAGAAGAAAGTCGTCTATGTCCCAGCAGAGTTATGTGAGATTGAGGCAGGCCAGTCATACAATGCCGCACTTTCCGCCTGGCAGACAAAACAAATGATAAAGGCGGCTTGCAAACCGCCCTACACCAATGCACAGGCGATTTCCCAGCAGGGTCTCAATATACTTGGACTACGCAAACGCGCATCGCCGATACCGGGATTCGGGATTGAAATATCCACTGAATTTGCTGTTGTTCCTGGTCGGGTTCTCTCACCGCCTAAGGTCCTTTACCAATCGGGCCGACCCAAAGTCGCAAACGGTTCATGGAATATAGTAGGCGCGGAATTCTCGCGTCCTGCTAATTTCACTCGGTTTGCTGTACTTGTCTTGAGTGACGGCCTTGAAGAAGATTTTACACGTGCCTCTGACAGTGCGCTAGAGGGCGTCATCAGCAGTATTGTAGAGAAGTGCCGTAACAGTGGGATGGGGGTGGATGACGAACCTCTTGATATAATATTTATTCGGCTTCGCGACGAGTCGGACTCTTTACGCGTTCAAGCCATCACCGAGGCCGAAGAATCCATCAAGAGCTTGTCAAGTAATCCGAACATGGTTCTGGTGTTCATGTCCTCGAAGGATCCCGTCATCTACCCTGGCATTAAGAAACTATGCGATATGAAACTCGGAATTGCAACGGTCTGTATGATTATGGAGAAAGTGCGTGGCAAATCGGATCAGTATCTTTCGAACATCGCCCTCAAGATCAACACCAAGCTCGGCGGGTTAAACCACCAACTACACTCAGACTCTCTGGGCTGGCTGAAGAACACTATGCTTGTCGGTATGGACGTAACTCATCCTACGGCAGTCGGGTGCGTGAAGGGAACTCCATCGATTGCTGCCGTCGTTGCATCGTGCGATAGTGACTTCATGCACTACCCAGCAAGCTTGCGTTTGCAAGGACATAGAGTAGAGGCACGTAATGTCTATTCTCAATGTGCCGTTTTCTAACCAATGAAAATTACAGATGATTAGTAAAGTCAAAGACATGGTGATCGAGCGTCTGGAAGAATATCACAAGCGTATGAATGCTTATCCGGAACGTGTCGTCGTTTTCCGTGATGGTGTTTCCGAAGGCCAGTTTAACCTAGTGCTTACCAAAGAATTGCCCGAGATAAAGGAAGCCTTCAAGTCGTTTAAGCGTTATAATCCGAAGCTGACAATAGCGATCTGCGGCAAACGTCACCACACTCGGTTTTATCCAACTAAAGCGGAGGACGCGGATAGGACGTCCAACACGAAGGCAGGGACAGTCGTCGATAAAGGTGTCAACGCAGTCTACGACTTCGATTTTTATTTACAGGCGCATGCTGCACTACAGGGTACGGTACGAGCGACGCACTACACAGTCATCTATGACGAGAACAAGTTCTCCGCAGACGAACTGCAGCAGGGTATTAACGACGTCAGTTACCTATGGGCCCGGGCAACAAGGAGTGTGAGTTTGATTCCTCCGGCGTACTGGGCGGATCGTGCATGCGAACGAGGCAAACATTACTTGCACGGTATTTATCCTCCACCGAAGAATAGTCGAGAGAGTAGGATGGATGAGGTAGAGATAGATCAGAAGGCAAAGGAATTGTGGGGCGAAGGCATCCACGAGAATTTGAAGGGAACGATGTTCTATTTGTGATTATATAGGTCGGCATTCGGAGTCAGGATTTGTATATATATAAACATTTAGGAAGCACAAGTAGACTCATTGCCAGTGCTTACAATTGCGACATAGAAGCCTAAAATTTCATTATTGCTGCCAATTCACGTAACAAACTCAGACACCAAACAAGGAGCATAAAGAATTACGGAAAAGTAGTGGTATAGGAAGAGCAGTCCAGAATCTCGTCTACGGTGAAAAACAACGGTATAGTCGCCTCAGCGTTTGACCATTAGTCAAGAGTGAGGTCAATCGCGCCGTTTGTATCAAGAACAAATGCCGCGGACATTGAAATCTCGTCTTCTACCTTCACTTCCAGCTTTACTCTTGCGCTCGCTTTACCCTTGCTCTTCCTCAGTTCTTTGAGCTTACGATCAACTTCTGCTCGCTGTTTCTAGTTAAATAAGATTATACTTTGCTGAGTTGACAAAGAAATGGACAAAGCGTTCACCACTCACAAGTAGTTCCTGCTCCGTTTGATCAATATCCGATAGGTTTGTTACGTCCCTCTCAGCCTTAGCGTTGGACATTCGTCGTCTTTTACGTTGATTCTGGGCGGGTGTGGTATTTGACCGTCCTGCAACAGACAGTGGCTCTCTAGCACGTTTGCTCTTCTCAGTTCGCGCAACTGGAATAACCTCGAGAGCTTGAAGAATTTCTAACTATTGGGTCAGAAGGTTGCGAATAGTGTGTGTGCGAAAGTCACCTCACCCTTTGGACGATAGATAAATCGGAAAGTCACATATGGGCTAACATCTATACCGTATGGCTTCGTGCGGATCGTACGCAGTCGCCTATTAGGATCATGCACCGTATCACCAAGCCTTGGTATTCTGTAAGAATGTCCCTTTCTTTTAAACTTGTTGTCTATACTCACCCAATTCTGTGGCACCCCATTTTATTAGACTTTTTGTTGAGTGGCATGTCAAGGTCAATAGGTACAGTCCTTGGTTTGCACTTTTCTGATCTTGAAGTACTAGTGACAATGACACGAAAAAGAGAGATCACTATGGTACCCATATCCTTTGATGCTGCAACACCACCGTTGTCTAAGCACAATAGTTGCAGGACATTAGTTTACTGTACACAGTAGTAAACCATGAATTACCTGTCAGAATGACATGTGCGAATTTGTATGGCCAATATGTTTTGGTGTCTTGATTCACCCCTCGTATGGAACCACAGTTTTCCCCATCCTCATGGCACCATGTCTTAGTTCTCATATGAACTCCATCCGTTTCTACTGTAGCACGGGTAGATATCTCCAATGGACACTCATGATTTTTCCATTGGATTTGAAATATCTTAGTTAAGCTGTATTTAGTGACAAGGAAATAAGTTGTGTCAAGCCCTGCATACCTTTCCAGCCTCGCTAACAATATAGCACGTCACTACATCATTCTCAACTTCTGTTTGGTATTCCTCATAGCGCTTCTGATCCGACTCGATCCAGACCTCATGGTTTTTTAAAATCGGCATTATTGTCAGATCGGCAACTGTGAGGCAAACGCTTTCAGACTTGTAAGACTATGAATGTAAAGGCTACGTTTGAATTACTGACTGACCTTCCTTTATTACATACAGAAAAGCTAGCAGCTGTTGCAATCAGGGAAATTGGCTTATTGGTGACGTTGACTATGTGGAGCAAGCGTCTCAAAGGAACACTCGTTTGGATGAGACGCACAAAGAAACGATCGTTTATACAGAGAGACGGAAGCAAAACGCCACCCGGACTATTTTGTCCTGCACGTGATCGTTCACCTATAGGTCTATGCCAAAGACATTTCAGATTCAGACAATTTAGAAAGTCAGGGCAAAGGATATAATATTCAACTCAATGTTAGTTTTGACATTTACGGATATGGGCATGGGATAGAATTTTCAAATAGTAAAATCTTCATTGTCGACTCAACGAGAGAATAAACATGTGACCCTGGGTGATATGTTTTACTTTATTTAATATGATTTCTTCAGGATAAGAATACTGCATTGCAAATACTAAGGTGTATTCACATCTTACTTTCAGTCGTCCTTGCAGTTTGATTCCAAATCAAGGTGCATATTGATACAACTTTCCAAGTTTACGTATGCATACAAATTATTATTTCCGCTTGTCCTCAATCCTCAACGTACATTCTTACAGCTCCCCAGAGCAAACACCTTCAATCCAGCTTGTTTCCTTACCAACGGTGGTAATATTCTCGTGACCGTCGGCCGTGATGAGTACAACGTCCTCGATGCGCACTCCACCGACAGCTTCGTAACGTGCTAGTACCGCGTGATCAATGTGTCGAGAAGAGCGTATTGGTGCGAGTAAATGCGGGTGGAAGTATATGCCAGGTTCAACAGTCTATTTTCAAGTCAAAGTCGTTTTCAGTTCAAGTCATCAGAGTGTGAAAGCAAAAAAAGACATACAACGACCATACGCTCCTGAAGAGGTAGCCTCAACCTCAAATAAGTATAGAAATCCGGACAACGGAGATCCTTTCCTTTGCCAATCGTATTATTAACAGCTGGTCTGCTGGCACTCGGAACGTCGTGTACGTCCAGTCCAAGACTATGCCCGACTCCATGCGGGAAGAACGCTGCACTAACACCAGAGGCGAGAATCGCTTCTTCTGAGTTCCATGAACCTGAATTCGGTGACTCAGGTGAGAGGAAAATGCCGAGTTTCTGGAAACCTTTTACAAGGGTACGGTGACAGAGTAGTTGGACGGCGTCCCAATGTAGTCCGGGCTTCAGAATTTCCAGGGATACCTAACGAATGCAAATAAATATAATTAAAAGTCAGAAACACGGGCTTCCGTGAATTTACCTTCTGCATCTCGAGTACGAGCTCGTAAATCGCACGAGCCTCTGGTGTAAACTTGCCTCCATTACCGACAGGCATAGTCCTCGTGACTTGGAAGCAAGTTCAGAACCAAAAAGAATCATCATAAGAATGTACAGAGACTCACTGTCGCTGGCATAGCAATTCCATTCGCACCCAGCATCGATGAGTAAGACCTGTGGCTGCAAATCTTTGGCATGTCCATTAACGAAAGACCCATTATTGTGGTGATCGTGCGGTGCTACAGGCCCCCAAGCGAATTCCTTGTCGTTGCAACAGTAATGTAAAGTAGCGGCGCGAGTGGAAGCTGCAACGATTGGAAGATACGCCTGTTGAACGGATCTACCGAAGTTTCGTTAATTACCCAGCCCATATCTGTTTAATTACAGAAACTCACCCTTCTCGTCGACAAGACGCAACGAAAATCGCTTCAGCTTCAGCTTCCTTCTCGATAAGCCATTCACCAGGGAGAAGTGGACGCTCGATCGCTGCGCCAGGTTCACGCTTGATCAAGCCCCTAACGGCTCGACCAAGGGTTCGCATGACAACTTCATGAGCCCGTGAGCTTATCTCATTTGCTTTTCGAATTTGCGTAATTTCGTATTCTGTCTTGATGAGACGTGCTTGATGCAGTGCAGAAAGAAGGAATGCATCCGTTGGAGAGAGCTTTAACTGCGTAAAGTCGCCCTTGAGTTCCGGAAAAAGTGGAGATCCGATGGGTAGGGTGTGGAATATAGCATCAGGAAAAGCCTTCTGGTAGGTAACGATAGCATCGGTGAGAGCAGGGACGTAGGCGAGTCGCGTAGTTTCGTAGAGTTGAGAAGCTTCGGCGATTGAGGGAGGAGGGATACTCCACATCAGGTCTGCAAGCTGTATCTCAGGAATGTAAAGCTCGATAGCAGGTGCAGACGATAGATATGTTCCGGCTTGGTAAACCAAGAGAAGATAGGAACCGCTAAACTGCGCTCAGTATCATGGATGCCTAGAATATCAAAGTTCAACTGACGGAACATCACATCCGGAAAGGTAATAAAAGTTTGATTCCTGTATGTAGAGCAATTGTCAGCAACAGACGATTTCTTTAGACGAAAATCTGGATGCCACATCAGTGCCATTTGGACGACACTATTCCGTGGGAGCCGACAGAAATAGGTTCGGAACGGAGGATGCAAAGGCAAAGGCAACTCCTTACCTGACGGAATGGCATTTCACGATCCGTATCATTTCTGTAAGGTGTAACTCCACCAGCAAGTATCACAATTTGGGGCTATTAGTTCGCTCAGAATCTCCAAAGGATTTATGAAATGTATGCATATAAAGCAACCTTTGTACGATCAGCTTCGGGTATAAGCTGCATAAGCTTCTCAAATGTGTTTAAGACGTGCACGCGAGCTAAAGGAGTTTCCATGCAATTAAGCACATTTTCTATATGAAACAAGGGGTAAAATGGATACCTGGATGGATCATACTTGAGGATAGGTAACTGGGAGTCAGTGTCAAGTTACGAGCATGTCATGCAGCGGCCCGTGACGCGTGCGACTTTCTTCTGCCCACCATGGCCTCTTCAAAATCTGAACAAGCATATATTCAATCGTCTTTACTGGCCGACCCACCTTTTCGTACTGATGGAAGGGCCCTTGACGATTATAGGCCAATAGCTCTTGAAACGCAAGTAGCACCTCTGGCAAATGGTAGCACACGAGTGAGCATCGGTGGTTCAAGTCTCGTAGCGGTGGGAGGTGGACTACCAGGCACAGAAGTACTCGCAGTGGTCAAATTGGAAGTGGAGGACATCGTCAATGGTGATGGTGTCGATGGGGGTCGGATGGTGTGTAATGTTTCTTGGTTCGTCTCGTTACTCTCGACTTAGAATTTCTGAAAATTTATTCGTGCATGTGTTGCAAATAATTACAGTTCCTCTGCTGCCTATCCGAGTCACAACCACAACGCGATAGATGAGTTGCAAAACGAATTAACTAATATCCTTCACGAAACCCTGTCCGACCCGACCCTTCGTCCGAAAAACTTGTCCATCCTTCATGGCAAGAAGTCCTGGCTCCTGCATCTCGACCTCTTAATCCTTTCCGACACTGGTAATATTTTAGATGCCCTCTTCCTTGCGGCGGCAGCTGCTTTGCGTGATACACGTGTTCCACGAACGCGTTCTGTAGAGTATCGAGCACGTAAAGAAGGGAAATTGGCGGTCGACCGATTAGTTTCAGAAGACGCAACAATGGCCGACGAGGGTCAAACAAGTGGGCTTGATACTCGAGCACTACAGAAAGCAACCGATTTTGAACTGGAAGACTACTGGGATGAAGGCGAGCTACTGCAATGCGAAACGCCGTGGCCTTTGTGTATTACTTTGAATCTGGTCAATCTATTTGCTTCTGCTGCTTGTTCAATAATTGATGTAACCCTAACTAGGTACCTCCGATACACTATCTAGACGCAACTTCGATAGAAGAGGGCGCAACATCTCTCCGCTTGATCCTGTTTTTCTCGCTCCATGAATCTGGATCAATATTGCAGGGCATGCGATTGTTAGGGCCTGGGGAGGTCAACGCGTCTCTTCTCAAAGCTCTCCTACGTGTAAGCGTGCAAACTTCGGTTATCATTATTCGATATTCATGCATCATACAGCATGGTGAACGTTACGCTCGCGAGCTTCAGAAAGCGTTAGATGCCCACTTAATTAGCAAAACTACGAAACATCCTTCAATATAACAGAATATTTGTCGTGCATCTTTGCCCGCTTTATCTTAAGAGCAAGATTGTCTGACGAGTTGTACTCGCTGATTATGAATACGGTTGGAATCGTACATCCCAATGCATTGCCATCCGCGAAGATGTGAAGCCTATGGAGAGGTATAACAACTACAACAATGTGATTGGCTACTCACCTTTATTTTTATCGTGGTCTCGTGGTCGAGTTCGGATGCAATTCCTCATGGCCATGGTATAAGACTCGAGCTGACATACCCGAAGCGTCCGATTCGTGAGACTCTGCGATAGCTATACACTATGGTAGCGACACCATCGATACCTCGTATTGACCTAAGCGGGTCATCATATGAGGTGCGCCTGCTTTGTACTCTCTAGATGTCTGTTATCTTGTCAGAACCGTCTCACTCTTTCGTTCTCGCGTCATAGATAGGACTGCAACATGGAAGACTCCTCCGTTCCCAAATCCAAAGTCAACTCACAGTCTACCACTCGATATTCAAAGCCCTTTCTGGCCTCTCTTGGCCAAAAGTTCTAGAGTTCGCAGAAGCATTCCAACCGACTATCCAGAGACTCGCACCAGAACTCTATTCCGAGATGGAGGGTATCGCACAAGGTGCAGGTGTCCCACTGATTGAGATCGTTGCTTTGAATTCGCGGAGTGAGATTGCGCTTGGAACGCTTGATGATGGGTGTACGAGTCTTGCGTGGACTCTTGAGGACAGTCAGAGAAATGGATCTCGGCGACAAATTCTTGCGCAGAATTGGGATTGGACTGAGGATGTTGGAAAGAACCTTGCGAAGGCCTCTATCACTCAGCCTGGAGTACCGAAGATATGGATGGTTATCGAGGTAAGAAGTTCACAGTTTCTATGGTATTTACATAATAGCACGAGGCTTTCGCTTACATTTGAATACGATTAAGCCAGGAATCGTTGGAAAGATAGGATTCAACAGCTCATCCGTCGGCGTATGTCTCAACGCAATCCGTGCACGGTCGATCTCGACGTCACTACTACCGATCCACCTTTTGCTTCGCATCGCTCTTCAATGCACTTCGGTAGACCACGCGATCTCGGAGATTGAACGTCTCGGCGGTCCAGCCTCGTCCCAACACATCCTTATCGCGGACTCGAAATCCGGAGGACGTGGACTTGAGGTATCACCTCTCGGAAGCGTCTGCCTTCCACCAGACGCAAACGGTGTCGTAGTCCACACAAACCACTTCCTCGAGAATCGGCACGTCGAAGAGATCCCATGGAACATTGGATCGGAAACTCGGCTCACGCGAATTCGAGAACTAGTATCGCAAATTCTCTCGGACAATCCGAAATGTGATAGTATCACGCCAAAGCTTCTGCGTAAACGTATATTCTCGGATACTCAAGGCGCTCCGCAAGCGATATGCTGTTATAGGCCAGGGACGGAGACGGACGGACGCGCGATAAGCACTTTGTTCAATATCGTGATGCAGTTTGCGCCTGGGAAGGAACCGACTGCTGAAGTGCTTCTCGGGCGTCCGGGTCCTGACAATAATGGACCGGTATATCGTATGCCGTGGTGATCTGCATGTATGAATGCGGGCAGATTGGTGAATTTGTAAGTAAGCGACACTTGAGTCTCTAGGATCACGAACACCCTTATTGATTATTGATAGGTAACCAGTTAGTATTTAACCAGTTGATACTATCAGGTCTCAGAAAGACTCGTTTTTATCAGAGAAAAGTGAATTCAATACTAGTCGCTGTTCAGGTATGTACATAGGGGGTAGTGTACGTTTATGCAAGAACGGGATTTACAACTTAAGAATACGGTATCGAAGAATCGTACAGACAGTGTAAGTGGAACTTTTCAAGCACCTATATGAACAAGATTGACCCAATTCTCCGTCGTAGCGTCTTGCCTCTCCTCCAACTCCAACACAGCCTCGCGAAGCGCTCCAGCGGCTCGCTTGTACTTCGCTTCACTCTTTGGGCCCATATTCATATGCTGATAGATGACTTTTGCAAACCGTGGCCCATCTGGATCGTACAATTCCCACATGCTCCCGATCACACTCCTGAAACCACAGAATTGCATCGCTGCTGATAAGTGAAGTACTTCATCCTGCGCTCCCTCGTAATGCTGCTCTACGGTATGACAAGCTGATAGGAAAGCAAATTCGGCATTCGGAAGATGGGCTTTGACGATATCTAACAGGGAAAGACGTCCGTCGTGAAGTTTGAAGGAAGAGTCAAGAGGTTTTGAGTCCAGATGACCATGGCACGTGAAGTGAACCCACTTGGTATCTCGGAGAGACTCGATCACAGCATCCCGAGTTGCTTCATTGGTGATAAGTTCTTTCGATCGCATTCTGTACTTGCGTATCGTCTCAATCTCTTCCCACGCAGACGCTAGGCTTGTATCTCCGATTATGAGTAACTTCGTTTTTCCTTTACGGCTCACAGTTCTCGCCTCAATGAGTGCCGTGAGCGTTGGCGTGTATGACGAGACATATTCATCTACGAGATATTTCTTGCACCCATCCGGCCCTTCAAATGGTCCTGCGGCGTGAAATGGAAGTGCAGAAAGAATGGATGTAGTGCACCACCATATACGAGTCCCTTCACCAAAACCGAGCTCTTTTAGTTGTTTGACAATTTTTGAGACAACCAAGTCCCACAGTGCCTGCAAGACCTGCTAGAGCACTTCATTATACTCGGGAGAGCTTGCTCCACACTTCTGACGCGTGCCAACGAGATCCTTATATAGTCTCGTTGCTTTCTCCCGGAAACTGTCTTTCAGAGGGACACAGACAATCGGTGGGTCATCGCTTGGGAGAATTATAAGGGCATCTGACCGGACAACGGAACAATTTTAAATGATGACAGGACCTTCGTTTGCGGCTTGCTTCAAGGTTTTGAAAGGTCTGGCACTAAGGAAGTCCAAAAATCCAGGAAGTTGACGTATTTTGTTGATCAATTTCTCCTGTTCTAGGGAGAGTTGCCGCCTCAATTTCAACATCTCATCGACAAGACGTTGCGCCTTTGGAACGTGGTCGGACTCCGTTTTAACAATGGTTTCTTCCAAACCAGGGGATCGTGTGGGAGATACTGTCGCAAGAGTTTCAAGACGTCGGCTAACATCGGCGAAGTTTTCTGCGAGTGGCTTGTCAACCTCTGCAAGCCTGTCCAAAGGACCCCTGAAGCTACGCATCTGTGACCAAAGCAAAGCCCTTCCTTGCTCGAGAAACTCAACAGCTTTCTCAAGCTCTCCTATCTTAATTGCATATGCAGCTGCGTTTAGTACCAACATTCCGTTCGTATAATCTGTGGTAAGGAATTCATGCTGCATTTCCAATGTAGGACTAATTGTCAAGGCGTGCTGCAAGAGCGATGTGGCTTCGTGATAAGCACTAAGTGTGCTGTGATGGTTGTTTGTATGTGCTGCTACTGCCCAATGATGTGCTGCATGCAGTCGCAACAGAGTTCCGGAGAACTTATGAGTTGCAGCACGTTTAAACAGATACATGGACTTTTCCAGATTGCCTTCTCCATGTTCCTTTTGAAAACGTATGTGTAGCGATTCTGCAAGAGTACGCAGTAACTCAGAACAATGTGGATGGTCTTTGGGGCAAAGGTCTAGAGCATTCCGAGCTCTCGAGGTTGCTTTGTTCAAATCATCTTTCTGTCCAAGTGACTTGAATCGATAAAGAAAACAACGGGCAAGTCTGTTCAACGTATCAGGACGATGTGGTTGTCCAACTGGCTCAAGAGCAACTGCTTCCTGGAGGAGCGAGACTGCTTCGTCTAGTAAAACTAACAGTAGTTCCCCTTGTTGCCCATCCTCCCAAAAGCACCAAAGTAGTCATACAGAGCAGCTGCTAAGTGGCTAAGAGATATACACCGCTTTGTATGCCCGTATGGCCGGAGTTCCAGGGCAGCACGATGGTGTAGGATGGCCTCTTCTATGTCTTCCAGCTGTTTTCTCTGGACAAATCTCGACTTAAGGGCCATACCAAGGTTGTTGAGTATCCAGGCACGATCAACGTGTCCTTCGACGCAAAGAACCAAAGCTCTGCGATAAAGTGAGATTGCTTCTTCCAGATCTGCCTTTCTCTTGGTCTGCTCGTTTCGGGCGAGAAGGGAAAGAGCAAAATTACCTAGGCACAACGAATAATCGGCGTGACTTTCTCGATATAGAGCGAAAGACTCGCGGAAAAGTGAGATTGACTCGTCCTAGTCCTCGATTCGCCCGGTCTGCTCAAACCTTACACGAAGACAATACACCATGCTGTTCAGTGGCACAGAACGCTCAGGATTGTCTTTGGGGATTAACATTGAAGCCAAACGTCAATGTGTCATTGCTTCTTCCAGATCCTCTGGTTTTCCGTACTCCTCGAAGCGACTCAGAAGGGATCCTGCAAGGTTATTTAGGGACAGCAAATAGCCAGACTGATCGTTTTGCTCGAGTCGAACCTTCAAAGCATCTCGATTGAGAGAAATAGCATCATCGGCATCCTTAACCCATCCCCTCCGTCCAAACCGACCTGTCAAACACCGTGCGAGATTGTTAGCCAGTAAAGGCCAATCAATGTGGTCTTTGGGGTAAAGAGCCAAAGCATTACGGTAAAATATAACTGCATTATCTAGATCCTTTTCCGACCCGCTCTGTTCGTATCGAGTGTACAGAGAATCAGCAAAGTTGTTCAAGAATGCAGAGCAAGTGAAGCGATCAGGATATACTTTGGGAAAAGGAATAAAGCCTTGCAATTACAGAAAATTGCTTCATCTAGGTCGTCAGATTGTCCGGTATCCTGAAAGCGAGCATGCAACAAGCTAGCAAGGCAAGTCAGTGACTTAAAGCACTTGGATCGGCTCTTAGCATGAATAGCCAGGTTCAGAGTGCTGCGATAGGCTATAATTGCATCATCTAGGTCTTTTATACTCCCTGTATTCCTGAATCTAAAGTACGAGACGATTGAATGGTTGCTCAGTAGCACATTGCGATTGGGATGGCCTTTAGGCAAAAGATTTAAAGCTTCTTGGATTAAAGAAAATGCCTGCTCCAAGTCCCCTTCCCTCCCTTTCCTCATCACGAAAAAGTCGCAACAAATGTAATTAATAATAGCAAATGTAATGTAATAATGTACTTATATATTAATTACAATTCAAAATTACAATTATACTTTGCTTGTAATTGAAATGTAACAAATGTATATAAATATAATACTTATAC